ATTCTATTTACCGTTGAGCTACCAACAGCAATACTAATAGCCAGATCCATCTTATTTTTCATTGCTACTTTAATTGCTGACGCATGCTATTACCATAAAATCGGGTGTATTTAGCATTTATATGCAGAAAGGCTACAAACACAATGTTCATGTAACTTATAGGACTTTGGTAGCGGTAGGGATATGAAAAGTCCAGTCCTATCCGGTCCGGCTCGACTCCAAAAGTCAAGTCTTTATTAAAGTTCAGTTTAGACATATGTCTCATATATTTAAATATAGCTCAACAATCGCAGAAAATATACTTTTTTCTGCTATATTTAAATATACTATTAAATTCACTTGACGTTTGGAGTCGAATCGGACTGGACTTTTCACAGTCTTAGAGAATGGTTATGTCGATCGTTGTAGTGTCCATAAGTACTGTATTTTCTCAGAAATCATTTTTATACGTACGTACGTGTGACTCTATGTGAAAATCTGAATAGTGATTTTTAGATTTTTCATTTTTTTAAACTCATAGCTTGTTGTATTTCTAATTAAGAATTATTTAAAGATCGCTATTCCAAATTTTCACTTGGCGTCACACGTATTAAATATATAACTCAATCGCATGCGTTTAAATCAAATATGTATGTACTGTACTTATGTATTCACGTACCTCAGCAGCATTACCAACGATTGGTAACAAAATTAACCCAACAAAAGTTTTATTTAACCCCAAATCGACGATTCCTTCAATAGAATCAATAAGGAAATCAGAAGAAAAAGTAATAATTATTGTAATGAAACTTAGTAAAAATATAGATGCTCCAAAAGATAGTTCTGGATCTTCTGATTCTTCTTCACGGTAGAGGTAAGCATGAGTTTTTAACTATAAAAAACTTTTTTTTTTTGATAATTTGTCACGTGATAAATATACAGTTGAAGTCTTTTTTGAAATACCTGAAAATACAAAAAAAGCACATAAATAACCAACAACACCAACGCAATTCCACGGCTCAAGTTCAGATCCTGATCATGCTGTAAGTTGTCTCTATTTGCATTATCATCTTGATAACTACCCTCGAAATGAAATGCTGCAGGTATAACCAATCCAATGCAAGCTATTGCCAGTAAACCTGAATTCGTTTGAGCAGCTTTTTTATTAAAATCTTGTTCTTTATGTTTATATCCACCAGCAATGAAACATGATCCTAAGACTAACAAAAGGTTGGAAATTATAGAGCCTAACATCGACGCTTGAACTATACGAATTTCGCCTCGCATTAATGCTAAAACGGCAATTATCAATTCTTCGGCATTACCAAAAGTTGCATTTAGTAGACCTCCTACAGCCTATAAAATTACACAAATAAATCAACCGCATCAAACGCGCATCATAAGGAAATCACAAAATCTACCTGACCACATCGGTTTGCAATATCTTCAGTAACAAACCCAAGCAAGTTTGCTAGTGGTATCAAACCTAGAAAATTTAATATGAAAATTGTAGCACTATTCCATTCAAGAAAATGAGCCAAAAATCCGAGTGGAACAAATATCAATAACACATTTAGCTTTGACGAGTATAATGCAGCATTTAAAGAGTGTGTTATTGTTGGCGGCTTGTATAGTGGTTCGATTGATTCAATTTGGTCATCAATATGAATTGGGCCATGAGTAGGATCCATTATTTTTTAGAAGTTTGGTTGAATAGAATAAGTTTTTTTTTTTTTTTTTTTGTTGATTTTAAGTTACTATTCCATTAATTATATAACGCTGACACGTGCTTAAGTAACATTCAAAAGACGGGGAATGTAAACAAATTAAATATTATTAAAGAATTAAATATTATTGAAGACAACGATAAATCTTTGGCGTTTGATTTATAAAAAACTTTCAGATGAAATGGCAATTATAGCGGTTAGTAGTTTAATTTCGTTGCAATTTTATTTTCGTGTAACATTACTTTAAGAGCAAAGAATTCCTTCATGGAATAAATACATGTGTTAGGTAAAATTTATATAATGAGATCTCCTAAAAAAAAACTTGTCCTCTCTAAATAAGTATGTATTGGGAGAAACTTTATTTAACAATTATGCAATTTTTTATAGTTCTATTGACGCTGTGATATTCTTCTGCTCAATCATATCGTTAGTTCTTGGATACAACTTTCTGTACGTACATTGTTATTAAGAAAAACTGTTGAATAGAGCTAATTATTAGATCATGAATCCAACCCTAATATATATGATATTAACGTCCCGAAATTGCCCCGAAATAAGATTTTCTTGCATGCATCAATTAGTAATTTTATATGAAATTGCGCCGATACTAACTCAAACAGCCAATCAGAAGACATAAATCTTGAATCGGGCGCAAGAGAAGAAATATAGAAAAAAAAGCGAAAATACAAAAAAAACGATGTTTAAACCTACCTTGTGGTATTAATTAAAAATGACGGGGATGAAATTTACATATAAAAACATTATCTTTCTAATCAAGAACCCTAACCATCTCTAACTGACCCTAACTTGATCTCAATGTTCTTTTTACGCTAAATTTCCTTTTTTTGGGTTTGTATCACTCGTAAAAAAAATGGTATGACATATATATAATGTTATCTATTTTTTTTTTCATTATTACACGTAAAGTGATCTCATAAAAAATATCAGAAACCTTGTTTTTTCTAATCTTGTATCGCTTATTGTTAACAAATCGAAAATAGAAAATCTGCAATGTTTAACAAAACGAATCCCTTGATCGTTATTATTAATTTGCCTACCTTGAGCTTGTATAGCTGTAAATTTAGTATTAATTATTATTCGAATGGCGTAATTTACTGGTATTCTAGCCCCTTTTCACTTAGTACATACGACAATTTTGAGTCTGGTGTCAGGACGAAATTAATCTGATTGGCTAATGTAAATCAATTGCCTGGGTAACTTATTTATACACTTTAAAATACTTTTTTTTTTTTTGAGAACGTAATGTAAATACCAAGAATTTCACTTAGAAGTGAATATTTTTACTATTTAGTACTGTATAGTTATATTCACTATGTGAGTGCTGCTAAGGGAAAAAGGCCGTTCGGATAAATTTTCTATAGACAGCTAACTGTACACAAAATATAATCAAAAGTCCGAACGGCCTTTTCCCATGGCAGCACGTTCAAATACTAGAAACGATCAACAAAAAAAAATATGATTGAGACGTTATGTGTAAGATTTAAAGAGCTATGTGTATACCGTTTGACGTGCTATTATAATAACTTAAACTTGTACTAATGCTCATATTTTACGTATTCTGGATATAAAACATTAGATTAATAAATGAAATTTTGGGTTAAGTAGTAGGTTGATAATATGTCTTCCAAAGCAGTGTTGGCATTTCAAATGACCAATGACAAATGAATTGGTCATTGGTTATTTATAAAACTACTCTAACGACACTTGCAGTTTAACCAATAGAAATAGATCATAATTTAATTACATATTACTGAATACTATTAATTATCAATATTGATATGAATATACAGTACTTCCTTTAATAATAGAATCATACAAGTGTTTTTAAATAATAAAGAATATACAAGATATTAAAATTTAGAAGAGAAGAGGGGTAAAAAAAGTTAAAATTATATACAGTATAAAGACCTGATTAAATATATGGAAACTTTGCCTTAAAAATCAAGTTATAATATTTTTTGATTGAGTTAATTTAAACAAAAATGAGTCAAAATACTAGGTTATATTTTTAAATTACCTTTTAGCTTTATTGATTTAATAGTTTATTCAACAAACTATTAAATTAATAAAGCTAAAAAATAATTTATATATAAATATAATCCAGTATTTTGGTTTATTTTTATCTAAATTAACTTGATTAAAAAATGTTATAACTTGATTTTTAAGGTAAAGAACTCTATATATTAAGAAAAAAAAAGTATACTACTGTATATTTTTAATAAAAAAAATTAGATAATAAATAACATTGCTTTAACAATAATAATTGCTATATTTTATCAGAAAAAAATAAATCAAAAATGCCAACAGTAACCAATAGGTAAAGCTAGAAAAAATTTTATTAACTAAAAAGATTTTAAAAGAGCAAGAATATGGCTATATAGACAATAGAATTACAGGAAAGCTTAATATTAGTAGCTATAATATTTCAATAAAACATGTAGAGTCAAGTACAGAAATAAAGATAAAAGAAGTAAAAGTTAAACTCTCATCTAGCAAGAAGTTATCAGATCAAATTACAAAATCTAGCAAAGCAAACCAGAAAATCTGGAGTTACTTCAAGACAATAAAAGCCTTTTTAGTAAGAAAGAAGCTAAGAAAAATAGTAGTAAAAAGTATAAAGTAGCAAAAAAAAAGAAAAAAGCATCTTTGCAAAAGTGTTTTATTTTATAAGATATTTTTTTAAAGGTAAAAGCAATAAGAATAAAAAGAAGTCTGCAGTTTTACAGCCAGATGCAATTTAAATAGTGAGAACTACTCAAAAAAAAAAAAGCAATAGTATTTCAAATAACTTTTTAAAGCAAAAAAAGAAAATCTTTTTTAGAAAAGATATAGACAGTTTATTTTGAGAAAGGTAAAATATTAAAAAAAGATTTCATAAAAGATATTTTAGTTAAAAAAGCAGAATATAAAGTAATAATCAAAAATATTTTCAAAACAGCTCTAAAAACAATGCCTTTAAAACAATTAAAAATAGTAAAAATGCAAGTAGTATATATAGCTTATAACAGTAATAAAAATCAGAGAAGTACAGTATTAGTTTATTTTGAATCAAAAGAAATCTAATTCTAGTATTAAATAAAAGAGTATACTATTATAATACAAAGTTAGAATGTGTCAGAGTTAAAATTGAAGAGAAAAAAGATAGCTTCCAATATAATAATAAGTTAGAATATCTAGAAAAAAACTTTTTTAAAGAAACAAAAATAGAAAAAAATCTATATAATTCAAAAAAGAAAGACACAAATTATCTATAAGCTAAAAAAAAAAACCTAGACTCTGCAAAACAATAACCTAAGCAAAAAGACAACAAAAAAAATAAATACCCAAAATTCTCAAAAGCAGAAAAAGAAAATACAAGTATACAAGAATAAAGCAGCCAAAGAGTTAAAAGCTCTAAACAAAAATATAAAAACAAAAAGTTTAAACAAAAAAAAGTATAGGTAATATAAAGAAAACTAGCTTTATATTATTTAACTTACCTCTGTATAAGATTTTATAAAGACTAAATAAAATCAAAAAACAATAAGATTTTTAATTTAAGAAAAAATGAGTCTTAGACAAAAAAAATAATCTTTAAAAGTATTTAGAAAGAAAAATCTTTTCAATTACTTCCAAAAGTTCAAAGATAGCTTAACTTCTAAGCGATTAAGAGCAAAAAAAAGAAAAAAAAAAGAGCAAAAAAAATTTAAGGTATATTAAAATTGGGCACATAAAATCAATAGGCTAAAGGTTAATAAAATCAAATTTGAAATAATATTAAATTTTATAATAAAAAATAATTTTATTATTATAGGGCTTAGAGGGGCTTCCAGAAATTAGCTAATTTATTTTTAATAATAGATTTTCTGAAGCCAGATTCTCTTCCCACCTGATACTTATTAGCTAATCAAATTTTAACATTTATTTTTAATTTATTTTTTTTATTTTTATTTTTTTTTTAAAAGAGACCTTCTTGGTTAGCAAGTTTTATTAAGTTGAGTTCAAACACTATATATTGTAACGAAAGTATATCAAGCCACATGTGTACTTTTGGCACCTAATTTAAGTCGTTTGCCCAAAGTAGTTGTGCTATGCTAAGGGTTTTATACTATCTGCTATATCTATATCCCAACTATGGAGATACCTATTTAAACCTTCTGGTCTTAACATATTTGGTCTGATACTTATTTTAACACAGATGTAACTTACTATTCAAACATAGGTTTTGCAACACTACTACATAATCAGCCAATTTAGAACACTTTACTATTCTTGAAGATAAGCCCAACAGAGCAGTGCACATCCTATATATGCATTCACCTGCATGTTCTATAATATCTTTTTAGTTAGTACCTGTTATGCTACTGTCACTGAGTTTGTATCTCAAGCTGCCTTTTAGAGCACTGCTATAACCTGATTTGTATCTCAAGCTATGACCTTTTTAATTAGTTTCCCATTATGTACTTATTGCCCTTAATCAGTTCACAACAACTCTAGTACTCACACTTAAAACTGTTTCCTTACTCGGATTTTCTATTGGTCCCTCCCTTACTTCCAGCCGGCAATTCAGAAGGGTTGGTCTGCCCAGGCTTTAGATATTTGAAAAATGTTCTCCCCTTGGTTTATACTTTTATCTTTTTCTTTTGGTATAACAACCTGGTGGTTTGGCTAGTATGTTCTCCACTATAAGACCTGGTCTAGTAATCCTGGTCAATCAAAAATTTTCAACTGACCAAGCTAATGAAATTTTATTAGCTTAGTTAGCTTAGCCAAAGAATTTTAGATAAGTTATAATTTAATTAAAAAACTATATTCCTGTGTATACAATTCAAAAATTTATTAAATTAAAGCTTTTAATAAACCTATTTTTGATTTTGAGTATACAATTTGCCAAATTTAATTAAAATATCATTTAATAAATTATTAATAATACACAATCAATCAATTTATATTAGTATAATGTT